CGAGAGATTCCTATGAGTCAGACGTTGGCCAAATCCTTTATTTATATGATCTCATTTAATCTTCCTCACACTCAGAAATAGTTGTCATCACCATTTGACAGATGAAGAAACTGAGACTCATTGTTATTAATAATAGATCACATTTATTGAGCATTTGCTGTATTTTACCTTTACACCTCGCTTTTGCGAACTGATTTAATACTCGTAACAATCTTGTGAGGTAGGTATAGTTACTTTCACTCCTATTTTACAGATGAGGAAATTGAGGCTTAAAGAGTTTACGTTACTTGCCCACAGTCACCAAGTTAAGGAAAAGGGAAGCCAAGATTCTTCAGCTCCTTGCTCATAATCGCTGGTTATACTGTCTCCCGGAAAGGGAGGGAGGGAGGATGGCAGCCAACGTGTCATGTACAGTGTGAGTTTCCCCCCAACAGAAGATGATGGATGAGTAAGTCATGATAGCTATCTTCAAAATTTTCAGACGTTGTCACAAGGAAAAGGAAGTTGATCTCTTCAGGGTGGCCCCAAGAGGGCAGAGCTAGCACCCCTAGGTCCTGACTTCTCTCTTACTGAAGGAAGAATTTTAATAGAACAGCCCTCAAGGGGTGGTTTCAGCAAGAAGTAGGCTCCTTTCCCCTGGCATGTGGCTCTTCAATTTTAGCCTGCTCGCTGTTCACCTCGGAGCTTGTTTTTACAAAGCGGATACTCAAGATCTTCTCCCCGGGATTCTCAGTCAGCGAGTGTGAAGCAGGGCCCTGGAGCTGCATTTGTAAACAAATGCTCCTGGGTGAATCTGACGTAGGTGGTCTAGGACCACATGGGGAAATACCAAATAGTCAGAAACTAACCCTACCCTTAAGAAGGAGATCCCTTTAGTGTAGGGGAGGCTGGACTGGATGATCCCTATGTTACCTCCAGAGTCTCCGAAATCAGACTGTAAAAATAAAATCTCAAGTTGCTAAGAATGTGATAGGATTGACTCTGGAAACTTCTGTGAGCTAACTGTTCTATTTGCAAAAAGAGCTGTATTGCCATCTGGTGGATTGCCTAAAAGTTCTTTACACTCCTTCACCCTTAAACCGGGGGATGATTTTCTCATTTAATTCTGATACCCTCCACTTTGCAGACCAGGAATCAGACTCAGAAAGGCGAGGCAGCACACGCAGCCAGCAATTCCGGGTCTAGTGCTTCTCATGGACTTGAATTGCACAGACTAATCCGATGTGTGTCAGTCACAAAAGTTTCCAAGTTTTCCTCCAGCAGGCAATTAGGAGAAGGTTTAAGTTCTAGACAGCCATCACAGTGACACAGAGTTCCCAGATACTTCAGTACAATGTTTCTCAAAGGATAACATGCTGCGTTAAAAATGCAAGATTCTTGGCTCTATCTTACGCCCGCTGCTATTGACTGAATGTGTCCCTCCAAAATTCATATGTTGAATCCTAACCCCCAAGGTGGTGGTATTAGGATGTGGGACCTTTGGGAAGTGATTAGGTCGTAAGGGCAGAGCCCTCACAAATGGGTTAGTGCCCTTGTAAAAGAGACCCCAGACTCCCTTCCCCCTTCCACTATGCAAGGTTACGGCAAAAAGACAGCTGCCTAAGACAGAACGCAGATCTCCTCCAGACATTGAATCTGCCAGGGACTTGATCTTGGACTTCCAGCCTCCAGAACTGTGAGTAATAAATTTCTGCTGTTTATAAGCCACCCAGTCTGTGGTATTTTGTTATAGCAGACCGATGGACTAAGACACCTACTGCATCAGAATCTTTGTGGATGGAGGCCAGGATTTTGCCTTTGTAAACGTTCTCCAGTGCATACTACAGTTGGAGAATCATTGTCTTCAAGGAAAAACACTCAATTTGTGGATGGAAAGTAAGAAAATTTCCATCTGCACATTAGAAAATAACTTTTATTAGTGATGACTAACACTAAATAGGATTACCAGAAACCAAAAGGAAACAAGATTTGCTGTGTGCGTGTTTAGGAGGTTGTACTACAAAATTTGCTTATTTCCAATGTGTTTGTCACGAAACGGAAGGTTAAGTGAATAATAACTCGACGTGAAATGCTGCATGAGCACCTCAGTTGAATCATGTTTCATTTTAACACATACATGCGGGAGTGTGTGCTCGAACACACACAAACCCCAAACTGTGTTTCCTTAAGCTGGGTAGATAGATACAGAAGCATGTCCTTGGAATGTTGGAGTGTGGATTTCCAAAGATAGAGATTTGGTTGAAGAAAGAAACCTGATGAACCCAGTCACATTTGAAGCATAATAGCAGAAATTACCCCTGTAATTTTGAGAAATGGAGCAAAATGTCATAGAAATCATTTTATTAGTGACAAATTGATAATACATGTATTCATGATTTTATTATAGACAGTTATAACTAATGAAGAATCAAATGCAAAGAAATGGTCACCATAAGCTCACTGCTCCCAATCAAGTTCTTTCAGTCTTCTCCATGCTCCTTCTCAGCTTTGTTTGGATATATATTCTATATATTATCTTTATTAGCGGTCCCCTCAATTCTTTTTTTTTTTTTTTTTTTGTGAGGAATATCGGCCCTGAGCTAACAGTCAACAATCTTCCTCTTTTTGCTGAGGAAGACTGGCCTTGGACTAATATCTGTGCCCATCTTCCTCTACTCTATACATGGGACACTGCCACAGCACGGCTTGATAAGCAGTGCATAGGTCCAAGCCCGGGATCCAAACCTGCGAACCCCGGGCCACTGAAGTGGAGCGTGCAAACTTAACAACTATGCCACCAGGCTGGCACCTCCATTCTTTGGTATGAGCAGTTGACCTTTTCTCAGTCTTACATAAAAGACTATGAAAAATTATAGCAATCCTGTCCCATTTTCTGACCAGATTATTACCCTCAGCCTGTTATGAAAATTCTAGAGGTGCCATCAAGTACACGCAATTTTGTATGTTGCTTTTTGTTGCTTAACATTATAATAGCTATTGCTTAGTTGATGTGTTTTATTCCATTGTTTGTACCATATTTGCCAGATCACTACTCTATGGCTGTATAAATATTGCAATTGTTTCTCTTTTTTTCTTCTAGTAATTCTCAAATTAGTCGGTTATTTCTGAAGTTAGGGTTGGAGAGGGGGGAGTTTGAAAGAAAGGCTATTAATGCATATTGATTAGTACAAGAAATAGTGTTCTCTCTGATTTACCATATATCCTTTTCTTCCAAAATCTTATTTCTGCTAACTTCTGGAAGGATGTTAACTGATAAAAAAAAATGTGGAAACATGAACTACCATGTATTGAGAGTATATGGAAAATATGTTCATTTATGGTTCTTACCTATAAACACATACATATGCTCTTTACGTTTTTTCATTTAAATCAGTCTATGCAACTAAATAACATAATGTAAATACCGATTTCAGTAGATACAATTTTTAAAGCACTGTTATTTATTACCAGACCCTTGATTTTTCAAAGTGGCAAATAAATTTGGATTTGGAATTTGTATTTTCACTCTTTTCAAAATCCAATCTACATTGTCTTCACACCTTTGGATGATGCTCACAGAACTATCTCATTATCCTCACAGGTATTGTTTCGGAAACTGTCAAGGAAGTGCTCATGCCTTCATCACCAACAGACCTCTCTGAGATCTCCTTGAGATCGCCAGTTCCTTGTCATCTTCGTTTCTCCGAGACCATCTGCTTCTCATTAACAGAGCTCTTTCCCCCACCAATGGGTCACATGGTGGACTTAGAAGTGGAATTGATAGGTCAATAATTGATAGGTATTAATAAAATTTTCTTCCATCGATCAAAGTGCACTCTAGCAATTTTAAGTAGAAAGGCTTTAATAAAGGGAATTATGTGCTTAAAAATCATTAAAAGGATTGGAGAAGCAGACAAGAGTTGCCAGACTTCCTCTCAGATCAACTCAGATCAATTCGGCCACAACCGGAAACTAGGGAATAAGAAAGCCCGAGTCTCAGCTGCAGGCTGTGGCATTGTCCCACCTCAACTGCAATCCAAGTATCGGAAAGCTGTTGGCTTGCCTCCAGAACACACTGCAGCTGCTGGATTCACACCAGCACCATGAATGCCTCACACTGCCGTGTCTCTCCCGACTCAACCAGGTTCCACCCTCAAACATAGCATGCACACATCAGATTAGCAGAACCTAAATCACATCTCAGTCTCTGGCTACAGATTAGTTAGAAAAATGTAGTTTTTCACCTTCCAGCCTCTGCCACCCAGGAAGGTGCATCAGAAAAAAAAAATGTTGGAATAGATGTTGAGCAAACCAATCAGAATCTTATCACATATATCTAACACCCCTTGACCATTTTTCCCGATATCCTCCTCTAACTCCTACCTTAATACTACAGTCCTATTCCTGGAAAGAGCTGTCTGTTCCCACTGCCTCCACTTCCTAACCTCCCACTCGTTGCTTACTCACCAAGTACTGACTGCATCCCTCTCATATCCTCTCTTATCCCGTGACCTTTCCAATCTCCTTGCTTTGCTTTCTCCCCTCTCTTCCCCTTCCACCTCTGTCTAGTGTTCTCCAAGGTCTGCACTTGGCACCTCACCCCTCAGCCTGTACACTCTGCCTGGGTGATCCTGTCCACCATGTGCCATATCTACCATGTGCAGAAAATCCCCCAAAACATAACTCCGGCCATAAAATCTCTCCCAAGGAACAGACCCAGGTTTCCACCTGCATCCTGAAAGTGCCACCTGAATATCCCAAGCACCTCAAATTCAACATGTCCAATACGTATTCATCATCTTACTTCCGAAATCTGTTCTCCCCCACATTCCATGTGTGTGTAAATTGCACAACTATTCACCCACTTGCCGAAGCTAGAACCCTGGAAATCGATTGATTCTTCTCTTTCTCTTTCTGTTCCTACATCCAAACTGTCTCTAAGGCCCATCAATTCAGTGGAATCCTTTTACCTGAGTTCTTGAGCTTAACAGGTGCTCTTTAAAGAAAGACCTCAGACACGATCATTCTAGCACTTTATTGGAAATTGGTTGTGTACATCAATGAAATCAGATCAAAGTAAAAGCATCATTTTTACACAATAAGATCTTGATATGTGTGCTATCTTCTTACATAATTTAATAAATCCCAGGATGCTCCTGATTTTGGTCAAAGAGCTTGGGTGGTCCAGAAATCTCTCTATATAAATATAAATCATAGCATCTAAAATAACCCATCATTGTTTTGAGTTAGTTCCAAAAGTCCTGGGAGCATGTCTCAAAATATAAGTCTGTACCTTGGATTGGTTGCAGTGCTGGTGGGAGGGAGTGAAGAGAGGACATTTTACCACGGAGCTAATTATAGCAGGAGCTGGGGCAGACTGCAGAGCTCCTCTACGTGGGGCACACAGGGGGATGGGGGCTGGAGATCCTGAAAACTGCCCAGGGAACTCAGCCACCTGCATTTTCCAACATTGCTTGAATGTCAAAGCTATGAGACTCCAGTGCAGAAAGAAGCCCATTGCCCCATCTTCCTTGGCATTGCCAAAAAACGGCAGAGCCCTCCTCCAGATTGCATAGGAGCAGAGATTCTAGCACAGAGAAGGTCCCAGGAAGTTCCATTCATCTCCCTTCCCCTGCCATGTTCAATTCCTTCCCATTTTAGAAAACTTGAGGGAGTGACACCTCAAAGAAAACCACTTTTGAGCCAATGTGCTGCTGGACCCTTGGAACGAGGACGGGGTGGCTTTGCTTGCTTTGACCTGAGGGGCACTGGCAAAGGCTGCTCTGCCCCCGGGGCCTCCCTCACTACCTTCAAGGCCTTCATCAGCAATTAGGTTCTTCGGTTCTTCAGAGCTTCTCAGCATTCAGCAATAACACCTGCATATCGGTGGTGATTACTGCTCACAAATAGCTTTAACCTCCACTAAGTCAACGGTTCTCACAACCCTATGAGGTAGGAAGGGGAGGGATCATAATCCCCATGTGAAAGATAAGGAACCTGGAACTCACAGAACTAGGTCCCTTGACCAAACTCACACAGCTGGCCAGTGGCAGAATCAAAACCAGAACTCAGGTCTCCTCTCACGTTTCAAGCTCCAGAGTCCACACACCAAAGTCCCTCCTGCTGCCTTTCTGAGACAGGGGAAGAGGCCAGGGGAGGGGACGCTGTCCTCATCCCTCACCTGTTCCTCTTGGGAGGTTCTCAGACAGCCCCATTGAGCACAGGATGAGTCCGCATGCGATAGATGATGACCACAGTGGCCGGGCACAGCAACAAGGAGGTCATGACGACAATGGTGGCCAGGATGATGAGGACAATGACCCAGATATCCAGGATGTGCTTGGGGACCTGGCTGACGGAATCCATGCTGCTTCACTCTGCAACAGACAGCAAAGAGGAAATCACTGTTTTTGTACCCTCTCCCTGCCTCCTAGCTGGATGGAAACCCGCTCCAGGAGTCAGAAGCTTGGGTCACTTACCAGCTGTGTGCTTGTTAAGGTTGCTTGATCAATAATAATAATGGCCTCATTTACTGAGGACTGCACTAGGCAATTAATATGTATTGACTCACTTCATCCTCCCTTCAACCACCAACCCTATGAGTTAGGGACGATTACTGTCATCCTTTTTTATTTCTTGGCCTTTATTTTCAGTTATTCCCATTTTACAGATGAGGACTCTAACGCCCTGAAAGATGTAGATGTAGTTAATTTGCCCAAAGAAGTAAAGTCAGATCGGTGGGACTCCAGAGCCTCCATGTTTAACTATTAAACTATCATCTTATCTGTCTGTCCCGTCATCTGTCTAATGGGAAATTCATAGTTTTTGGTCCTTACCGCTTCTCCCATTCTCCTGGTAACAGAACCTCCTCTTTTCTGTGGAGAACCTACCTGTCCCATGTAGTTTGGTTGGGCCACTTGCCTGAGCATAGGGATGGATAGATGACCCAGGCTTGGCCATTACCAATCTCCATAGCCTCAATTCAGGGACAGGCAAGTGACCCAGGCAAGGTCAACCAAAGTCCTCCCAGGATTTTTATGCACAAGCTATTGGGAGAGATGATTCTTTCTGCTGAGACTGCTAAACTGAAAGGAAGTGAGTCTGAAAAGGATGGGCGTGGGGCTATCTCGCCCACATGTGGAAAGCCTGTCCTCCAGGTAGAAAGAGAAATGGAGCCTTGATGACCTCACTCGAGCCCCTGAACCCAGCCCAATCTGACACCATCCGCCACCCCGGACATTCCAGATATATGAGGCAATAATTCCCTGTTTTTGCTTAAGACAGTGTCAGTTTGATTTCTCTCACTTGCAGCTAAAAGAATTCCAATGGATAAAGATGTAAATCAGTTGTTCCCAAACTCTTTCAATTCATGGTGCCCTTAGTGTCTTAATAATTTTCTCACAGCACCCCAGGCCAAAAGAAATACCCGGCAGTTCTGCTGATTAAGTAGTTAGGTTCAAACAACTTAATAAGCATTTATGTCCCAACAAATTAGTAGCTGTTTGAAAAAAATAATACACACAAATTGAAAGAAAAAGATATTTTTATTTCATTCTTAATCAGTTACTAATGGGATATTTGCAACGGTTGGGCACTGCACAACTTCTGAAACTTTGGAATCAGGTTGGACAATGCCATCCTCACTCTCTATTTGACATTCATTTGTGCAGTATTTGCTGTATCACGGTGACTGCCAAAAACTCAGCTTCACCAAATATAACATGACCAAAAGGAATGTAGTAAGATTAATGTTAAACTTGTAAGCTGTCCTGAGCTAGTAGTTTGCACAATGTCTGACAGAAGTCAAATATCAATATTCCTGTCAAAAATTTTAAAGATCCTGCAGCACCCACCCACCCCGCCCCCACCTTTCCAGTGAGTTCACTGTGGTTCCCCAGGGCTAAGTGCACAACCTGGGAACCACAGATGTAACACGTTCCCTGCCCAGACAGCACAAGGCTGGAACAGACAGTTTCCTATGTTTCCTATGGTTCCTTCTAGATCTAAGATTTGTAATTCTGTGATTCTAGGTCCCAGGCAAAATTCCCAATTCCACTACTATTTCCTGCTTTATCTAATCAGAAACTTCTCCTTTCTAATGCCTTTGGTTTCATGCCTACTGTTGCCACTCTAAGCAAAACAGCGATTACCACACCCAAAGTAGAGTCCCCAAGATGTACATACAAGGATGTTCCTTTCTACATTGTTTGTTACAGCAGCTGCCACAACAAAAGTGTCCATAAATAGTAAAATAAAGTAGGGTATATCCATATAATGGCATACCATGCAGCAATTTTCATTCATTTGTTTAACAAATATACAGTCTTGCTACACACCAAGCATTGTTTCAAGTGTGTTCCAAATATTAACTTATTTAATAGTTATTAAAAAAATGATGACCTCTGGCGAGCTCCAAAATATTTTAACTGGAACAAAATAAACAAAGTGCAGGATAATGTGTATAAGATGATTCCTTTGGTTCAGATTTAGTAAAATTAAGTAGACACATAGGTGAGGGTATATGAATGAAAAATCTTTTATGAGCACAATCTCAGGAAAGTGTTAGTAGTGATTACCTTTGGGGAGTTGGACTAGGAGCCAGAGAAGTTTTCGCTTTTCATTCTTCATGTTTTCATGCTGTTTGAATTTTCTAAACATTAGCATGTATTGCTTTTAATTTTTTTACATTGACTGGGTTGAGGGAAAAATGGGATTGAGGGTTTTTTTCCTTTATAATTCTCTGTATTGAAAAGAGTAAATACATACATATACTATTTTCAAGTCAAATAAAATTAAGATATGAGACTAGATCAGAGGTCAGCAAATGCCATAAATAGTGCTACGTGAGAACCACCTTAGGACTGTATAAAAAACACTGACTTCTAGGTCCCATCCAGACTTTCTGAATTAGACTCAAGAGGAGATGGGAGGGGGACTTTTTTCCCATTTCCCAGGTGATTTGAATGTGTAGCCAGGTTTGGGAACCCCTGGATGCAACAATTTCTAAAGCCTCTCCAACTTTTTCCAGCACTATGATTTGGGAATTGATTCCTGGGTGCTCTGTAGCCAGTCTGGTCAGATCTGGGCAAGTTCCGGGATGAAAGAGAAGACTCCAGCAAGGCTCCTGAGGGCCGCAGGATGATCAGGCTGGGGCCTGCAGAGGAGGGAGAGGCACAGGCTGGCCCTGCCTCAGCTTTGGAAACGTGGTCACTTTCTCCAAGGTCTAAGGCAGAGACATATGAGTCACAGGAGACACAAACTGTTAAGGAGGGATGGGGGCGGGAGAAATCATTCTCTGTGGTCTCCAGATTACATCAACAGCTAGCTTGCCTTATGCCAAAGGAACTCCACAAAAGCCCTTCCCGGTAAACCCATTAACATCAAACAGTCTCTGTGACTCCAAATGCCAGGAATACATAATCCCCCTGGCTGACTTTCATAAGCAAAACCTGTCATTTCCAGGAACTCAGACTCCAGGGCTCATCCACAACCAAGAGTCATGGAACACTGAAGCTTAGAACCAGCCTTATTTCAAAGATGGCAAAACTGAGGCCCGGAGGTCTTCCCCCACCTTCAACTCCACCTCCTTCCAGAAGAATCATTCAAAAACATAAATCTGATCAAGTCACTGCCCCTAACTAAAACAAAACAGAACAGACAAGTATACAAATACATGAAATTTTTTCTGTAACCTGTCTAGATTGTACCAATATTACTCTTTTGCACAGGAAATTATTTAAAACCCCCATCACAAAAACAATAAAAGCAGACCTGCTCGGAATGCCCAGGAGGGGCCCAGGGAGGGGGGTTTGGAGTCCTACTCAGTCAGTGGGCTGGGTAGATACCCTTAGAGGCACAAGCACTAGAGATTAGGGGGCCCACTCCTTTCACATACACAAATCAAACTGAAAGCAATACTAAACCAGAACACAAAAACGTACATGTTATGATGAAATTAAAGTTGTTTTTTCTTCTAACTGAAAAAATCTGAGAAAATAACTTTTCCCGGTAATTTTTTTGGTGTCCCTGCTTAGCACAGCCTGCTCACTCGGTACAGCACAGCTGTCTGGCTTCTCCTTGACCTCTTGGGCTCCTCAGAACAGTTTGAAAACCACAGGTTGTGATGTTCTCCAAGGGCCCCGCCAGAGCTACTGTTCCAGGGCTCTAAGGCCGGCCATACATGTGGCCCGGCGTCGGCGGGCACAGGGAGCTCTGTCTCCCTGTTTCAACCTTCTCAATCTTCAAACATGTGTCCTCCAGTTGGCTGTTCCTTCCCATGTGATGGGGGTTCCAGTCACTTCCACCTCTCCCCACTGTGAAAGAAAAATTTTGTCCCCAAAACAAGCACTATGCAAACCACATGTTCAGCATCTTCAATAGCAGGCTGGAAAAATTTGCTTGAGAAAAAGCAGGACTCTAAGTTACTGCTAGCTGACTCCTGTCTGACCTCTGTTTGGCATCCGGGTGCACTGGCTCCTTGCGAGTGCATAAAACCCTGTTTCTCGTTACATCCAATTAATAACCATAGATCAATCTGCTTATCATTTGCTTTGCAGATATATTACTTGTTATTTCTGATTAATGGGTCATGTGAGAATACGGCCCAAACCATTCATGTCTCAAATTTAACCTTATCACTGGTAAAAATATGATGTTTTTATGACCACGGAAGGTAAAACCGCAGTTAAGCCTAAACTCCTGTCTTTTTAAACTGGCATACTTTATCTGCTATTTACTTCACTAATGAATAATAAATTTTGACATATGTTCAATATAAGTTTGTCTAAGAAGCTGTGTTAACACCACCCTAAGCTGACAAAAAGGCCAGTGGTATCAGTAGCCACTGATGCCATCCGTGCCTCTGAGCTGGCACATCACAGCTCCTCTTTAGACCAGACAGTTTAAGCAATTTAGGCAATTCAACAGAAAAGTTAATAATCCCAAAAAGACTATTTGTATCCATTAACAAGACTAAGTGTAAGGGTCAAAAACTGTAGTTCCTCCAAAGGAGGAAAACATTGTACCTTCTCCAAAGGTGGAAAATTCATCCCATCTATCAAGTACTCCACTTGGTCCAAACTAGGAAGGAAAGGGGGGTGCCCTGCTGCCTGCTTGGAAAACATCAACTTTTACTGCTGGGACCATTTTTCTTAAGCAATTGAAAGTCCTTTTGTGAAAAAAAAAAAAAAAAAAGAATCATTGTTCCAGCCAATCCCATCATATGGCAAATTTTCTAGTTCCAACAAAAAACATACAGATTTCATAAATTAAAATTTCCTAAAAGTCAGTAGTGTTAGAATAACTGAATTCAGGTAACTATTCTGTGCTATTTATCTACCTTTCCATCATGAGACTCACTCCCCAGCAAGCAACTTTT